CCCCTCGCTGCAGATGGAAGGCAAGGGAGAAGGGGCATCANCTGTGGAACCACGAGTTGACTTTTGGAAGGAACATTGGGTCCAAAAGGTAATACAACCTTGCTCAGATGGAAGATGCATAGGTCGTCCAGGACGGAGACCGCTGCTAACTCGGACACCCATCTGCCCGATGTAATGGCTACTAAAAAGATAGTCTTAAGAGTCAGTAACCTGAGGGAGATGGTCCGAATAGGCTCGAATGGAGCCGCTGTAAGGGCACTGAGTATTAGGGAGAGGTCCCAGGTGGGGTAGCAATGAATGATAGGCGGACTAAGGTTCGCTGCTCCCTTCAGGAAGGCCCGCACCCCCGGGTGTTGAGTTAGGGGTGGTCCCGCCCACCGCCAATCTCGGTAGACAGAGTCGCAATTTGACGGCGGAGAGTGTTAGGTGTTAGCCCTTTGTCCATGCCCATCTGTAGGAAGTCCAATACCTGCGGTATGGTTGCCCCGGTTATGTCCGAACCTGTTGCTTGACACCATCTGCAGAAGGAGATGACTTTATCAGAGAAATGCTGCTGACTCAGGATTGTCTGCTCACATACCACATGGCTAATTGTAACAGCTGTGGATTCGGGTGGATGAGGGCTCCTTGCGAGAGGGATATCCGGTCGTCCGGAATTCTCCATGGACGTGAGATGGACAGATGGATGAGGTCTGCATACCAGGGGTGCTGTGGCCACATCGGTGCAACCAGCAGCACCTCCACCTGTTCTGCCAGAATCTTCTGGATGACCAGCAGTACAATTGGCAGAGGCGGAAAAGCATAAAGGAGACCCTCCGGCCAAGGGCTGTGGAGGCCATCAGTGCCTTCTGCCCCTGGTACCTGGAACCTGGTGTAAAACTGCGGCAGGTGTGTGTTTTTGGGTTGAGCGAACAAGTTCACCTGCGGGTGACCAAAGCGGCGGGACAGTTCTCGGAACAGGGCTGGGTGCAAGCGCCACTCCACCTGATCCACCATGGCCCTGCTCAACCAGTCTGTTTGGACGTTCGCAGTGCCCGATATGTGTTCTGCTCAGAGTGACAACAGATGGTTTTCCGCCCAGTGGTGCAGAAGTTCTGCTTCCATCATCAGGGATTTGGACCTCGTGCCCCCTTGGCGGTTGNTGGCAAGTTGGAAAGACACGAACAGGGCCTCTGTCCTTTTCAACGATGCCATGCATTGCACATAGTGGCGAAGGTAACAACGAACATTGAGATGATGCCAACGCCGTTCTTGGAGGTGAGATGGCTGTGGACAGAAATCCGGGAGAGTGATCTCTTGTGACCTGTGGAACCACGAGTTGACTTTTGGAAGAAAGGTTGGGTCCAAATGTAGTACGACCCTGCTTGGATGGAAAATGCAGAGGTCACGCCGGACAGAGAGCGCCCCCAACTTGGACACACGCCTGGCCGATGTAATGACTACTAAAAAGATAGTCTTAAGAGTCAGTAACCTGAGGGAGATGGTCCGAATAGGCCTGAATGGAGCCGCTGTAAGGGCATTGAGTATTAGGGAGAGGTCCCAGGTGGGGTAGCAATGAATGATAGGCGGACTAAGGTTCGCTGCTCCCTTCAGGAAGGTCCGCACCCCCGGGTGTTGAGTTAGGAGGTGGTCAAGCCCACCACCAACCTTGGTAGACAGAGCCACTATTTGACGGCGGAGGGTGTTAGGTGTTAGCCCTTTGTCCATGCCCATCTGTAGGAAGTCCAATACCTGTGGTATGGTTGCCCCGGTTAGGTTCGAACCTGCTTCTCGACACCATCTGCAGAAGGAGATGACCTTATCAGAGAAATGCTGCTGACTCAGGATCGCCCGCTCACGTACCACAGGGCTCCTTGCGAGAGGGATATCCGGTCGTCCGGAATTCTCCATGGATGTGAGATGGACAGATGGATGAGGTCTGCATACCAGGGGCGCCGTGGCCACATCGGTGCAACCAGCAGCACCTCCACCTGTTCCGCCAGAATCTTCTGGATGACCAGCGGTACAATTGGCAGAGGTGGAAAAGCATAAAGCATAAAGGCCAAGGGCTGTGGAGGGCATCGGTGCCTTCTGCCCCTGGTACCTGGTGTAAAACTGCGGTAGGTGTGTGTTTTTGGGTTGAGCGAACAGGTCCACCTGCGGGTGACCAAAGTGGCGGGACAGTTCTCGGAACAGGGCTGGGTGCAAGCGCCACTCCACCTGATCCACCATGGCCCTGTTCAACCAGTCTGCTTGGACGTTCGCAGTGCCTGATATATGTTCTGCTCAGACTGACAACAGATGGTTTTCCGCCCAGTGGTGCAGAAGTTCTGCTTCCATCATCAGGGATTTGGACCTCGTGCCCCCTTGGCGGTTGGCATGCGCCTTGGAGGCCATGTTGTCGGTGAGTATCAACACATGATTGGATATAACCAGGTCTCGAAACTCTCGGAGGGCTAGGCGGATAGCCGTAGCTGCAGCCAATTGATGCTGTTGCTCAGCTCCTGGACAGTCCAACAACCCGAATTGGCTCGCATCCATTGTAACTACAATCCGCCCTGGTTCCTTGAAGAGGCATCCTTTGAGGATGCAGGACGACATCCACCAACAGAGCGACAGAGATACCTTGGTTGGTAAGTGAACCCTGGCCTGAGAGTGACTGGTGTGAGCCCTTTGGAATGGGAGGAGATACCACTGCAGTGGT